TTGAGGATTAATATGATTGAAGGAGTGATTCATCCGCTCTAGTTGCTTTTTGACACATTGTCACAAAATGCAAGAAAACAAAAATGAAACTCAGAGGCTAAGAATTTCAAGTCAGTAGGTTGCTCCTTGTCACCATGTTGTACCAAAGCAATAAAAGATGTAAAGCTTTGTTAATGTATTGTTAATGCTGCTGGAAACATGCAGCCTTCACCAGATTTATAGATAGAGAACATTATGTAAGAGCTACAATAAAAACAAGAGAACCACATTCACTAATCCTCACAGTGAACTGAGGGACACGCCGCCTGCAGTGCTTTTGACCTGCGCCGTGTGTGGGGGCATGATAGCTTCCATGATCGAATGATGTGATTCAGACAGCGCTGTTCATGATCCCTCCGTGTTATCTGCCATTACTGGGGATGGTGGCTTGTGATCTTTTCATTACAGTTGAAAACTGTGAATGCTTGCAGGGATGCTATACCAGCCATTAGTCAGCTGCAGTGTGAGGCTCATGAACAACACACAACGCCAACACAGAGCCACATTTTTCACCAGCAAAACCTTTCCAAAATTGTAATATGTGCACACCAGAAATAAATTTGAAAAGTGTCATATAGAGTGTCATCTGTGCATCACTGCTGACATAACAGTGCATGGGTCAAACCACTTGTTGGAACAGGGCATCACCTGTAAAATGCCAACAGCGACATGTCCTTTACAGCATTTTACCTTTCATATTTAAAGGCTACTCAGGCTTGGTTCAGTGTGATGGCACATCAGGAGGGAGCACTAAAATCAATAAAAATCTCATTTAGATAAACTGATAGGTAAGCCTTCTCTGCCAGCTGCCGCTGTGGCATGGTTATTATGCATTACTGCATCTCATTGCTTCTTTACATTCAATATCTGACATGTGATGATGCACAAAATTGCTATTTTCCTCAGACAACTGGAGGCAGACATAGACACAAGGCTTTTAAGAGCTTTTTGATGCTCTAAACTACAGTAGTGGTTTTATCAGAAAGAGAAGATAAGCATATTTATGCTATATTGTGATTCAATTTGGAGCCCATTTAATTCAGAGCTGTTTAAATGACAAAAAAACTACACAAAGTAATGTAAATACATATTGTGCATCAATGATTTTGTCATGCTCAAGTGCAACATGCTATTTGCTTTTGAGATTAAACCTTTTCTTTAACAAGCCAGATCAATATTTGGCCTCAATTATCATTTGTATAACAAATATTTTTACAGTCCAACAGCACCTCTCTAATATTTTAGCCATTGTCGTATTTCATAAAGGCTGGATTGCAGTTTGTCATTGGTGTCGCAGCACATTTATTATTTATTAGGGTTTTATGCTAACTGGGTTATAAAGGTTTACCACTTGTAAACAAATTAGGCAATTTAAAGAGCGATCATTTATTTGACTACATCTCACATGGGTTAGGACACTATACTGTTACACAGTTATAAGTGTTGATCTAATTATAACATATCCAGTGTATGGAGTTGATACATGTTCTGGTAGGGGAGGCATAAAAAATGTTTGGCATTTTAGTGTTGTTTGGTGAGTGCTGTGGCTCTGCTTTGAAGATTTGCATCGTCCAGGATCAGAATTCTGTCTGGTGATAGGGTTGATGTCCTGTTTACCTACAATGATACACATTCAAAATGTTGAATGGTACATTTTATTGTTTCTGGAGTGTCCAAAAGTACCTGTGGAACTGTAATAAGCTTGAAACTTGCTGCATTGATGTTTGACTGTTTCCCAGTATTCTAAATTTTTTGTATTAACATTGATATTTGCTGTGTTTACCTGGACAGACGGTTATGCAGATTTCCTAGATTTAATCAAGTTAAATAGTCCAATTACTTATTTTTTATTTTTCAGAAATCTCTCAAAGCTAAACAGGTTTTTTTGTGCAGGCTGTAGAGAACAACACAACTGCCATTTTCTTCGGCTAGTTGATAAGTATTCCCTTCTCTCTTGTCAAGTTCCTCAGAATTGCACTGGTGGAAAGGAATAAGATAGAGAATAGAAATTTTCTTTTTTCCTCCCATAACCTCTAGTGACAGAACAATTTGGAGTGAATCATTGAACACAGCCAAGACCAAATTATAGCAACAGCACTAGAAGCCAATAACCAATTTTCAACTTGTAACGTGGCAGCTTTGTTCTCAAACTCATCAAATGGTAATTAAGCTTTTCCCCCTGAGGTTCATGGTTTAGTTTGAGCAGACCAGACAACAGAGCACACAGAGGCAAAGAACTCATCACTACAGAAAACATATATACAAATTGGAAAGTGTCTTTTAAAAGAGAAATTTACATTATATATAAGTACCTTTTTTAGTCCATGCCAGCATCTGTTTTTAAAAGCCTTCCTTGAAAGTTGTTTAAATTTGCTCTTGGAGGAAGCTCACTCAGCTGTAACATTAAGGTTCCCAAGTTTCCATTACTCCACCTCAGAAGCAGATCAAGTAAAGGGACATGATGTGATCCACTGACAGACGCTAGCAGAGGTTCGCAAAGACCCTCGGTCTTCAGAGATCAGAATGTGACAGGGAGTGAGAGTTGATAAATGAAAAAAAGGAGAACAAAAGTGCAAAAACTACTTGAGTGAGCGTCTCCTCCTTGGAGTCCTTTTGACATGTCGACAGCTGATACTCAGACAGTAATGGGGGTTTGACATTGGGATGATAGGGACCCGATCTAGCACGACTGAGGTGAAAGGCTGTCCCATACGCCTACCAGACAGCAGTTGCCTCTACCTGGATCATGCAGATTGTCCCTGTGACAAACTTACTGTCAGGAACTAGGTTGGACATGAAACACACCAGACACCAATATGAATTTGGGGATTCAGTAATGTGCACTGTACAAAAAGGGTAAAGCTTTTTAGTTTTGAATCATACAGTTGCAGAAGCACATATGATAAACCTACCAATGTTGTAGCTTTGTTCTCTGACAGATATCTATCTGGATTTGATTAGCGCTGCAGCAATTAGTTGGCAAATCAAACCGTCAAATGCCTGAAAATGAACCGGTAACAATTTTGAATATTAAATAATCATGTTGAGTAGGGCTGGGCGATATGGCAAAAATGTAATCTCGATAATTTTTTTCCCATATTGATCGATAACGATATATTTTTCGATATATAAACTGTTAATGCTGCCAGCTTTCAAAGAGTATCTCAAATATGAAGCCACAAAAATTTGAGGGTATGATGTTGAGTCTCTGGATAACGACACCACACCGGTGTTTTTCCTCCATTTCCAGAGCTCCAAAAGCCGCCTGGCAGCAAGCCCCATCCCCTGACGAGTGAGAGGAGCACAGCATAGTGAGGTAAGTTTAGCATTTCACTCCACGTCTATGTGGAAGCTGTTCATCAGTAAAGCCTCTTAATGACGGTTTGTTCTGTGTTTCACAGATGACTTCGTAAAGGATGAAGACGTGAAGCTGCGCCCACTGAAGACATCTTCAGAGGCTCCAACAGGTGAAGGACAAAGCCTTTCTTATTTAAATGTCACACTCAGCAGCCACTTTATTAGTACACCTGTCAATGCAACACTTCCACCTCAACATGTGTTTATGAAGCTGAAAATGTATAAAGTCAGTTATGTCTGAATCAAAGGTGGTGTTGTACTGGACTACATGATATTGAGGAGTGTTCCTAACACTCTTATGTACATATGTAGCCTGGTACAACACCACCTTTAATTAGGACTTCAGCCATTTAATTTATATGTTTGACAATTTCCGATCTTTTGAGCTTCATAAACACAGATGTGGAAGTGTTGCATTTAGTTGTACTTAATGTATTGGCTGGTTAGTTTATTCCCATAGCTGAGTTGTGTTTATACAATCATTAATGTATAAATTCAGTTATGTTTGGCCATGTAAGCTGGTACAACACCACTTTTTACTAGGAGTTCTATAATTTGTACTAAATGAGTGGCTGTGAGTGTTTATATGCACTTCAACAATTTATAGTTAGTTTAGTGAGTATTTATTCCCATAGCTGGGTTATGGTTTCCTATTCATGCTGTGTCCTTTGCAGAGATGGCTGCTGTCTTGGAAGACTGACTGAGGAAGTTGCCGCTGTCCAGTTTCATACTCCAGATGGACACATGACATCACACAAGGAGCTTCAGGACTGTAGAGAGGAAGTAAAACAAGTGTCAGTATGAAAGAAACACTCCATGCCATAAACTAATAAAGATTAAATAAATCAATGGTCACAATCTGTGCCTGTAAGGAGGATGCACTTGTGTTGGTCAAGCAGCCACGGAGGACATCACAGGGGGCTCTTGAAGACTTGTAAGACTGAGGAAATAAAACAACTGTCAGTGAAAGAGTCATTCCATGTCAACATTATATAAATA